AGAAATCAGAGCATGGGAAGTGCTTAAAATGAGCCAAAGGTTACAGGCGTCTCCAGAGGCACCAAAGGCTTAGGCTCACCAAGTAGGGCTAAGAAAAAAAAAAATCCACCAATTCCATCAATTGATTATAGCGGGTTGGAATTAAGGGCTTCAGGGGTCATCCAAGAGATGCAGTCATCCAAGAAAAAAAACTAAAAAATGTCATCATCGGTACCTTAACTTCCCCTTTCCGTACTCCCTGACCAAACTTGTCATCACTCAGACCAAGACATGTCAGGTATTGGCGGCCGTACCTCATCTACCACTTTCTGTACTCAAGGGAAAAGGCATGTGCTAAAATTGGTGCATAAGGGGAGTTGCTTATACTCCCAATAGGATATATTCAGAAGTGTAGGCGACTCATCATAAACTTCCACTTTCCGTACACCCACCCACCATCGTACAGCTGGCCAAACCTTTTTATGCTCTAGGTACGACGAAAATTGTGAGGTATCAGAGCCCGCCCCTTATCTCCACATTCCGTACCCAAACCGGCACTTTCTGGAACTGCTCCAAACTATGGCAAAACGGCAGGGCTGAGGCTTCAGGGCTGATGTTTTGAAAGTTCGCAGTGAGAGCAACAGGGTGAAATCTGGATTAGCGTGCCCACAGGAGGCCAGGACAGTCACACCGAGGCATCCCGCAGAATTTTAGGGTACACTTGACAGGGCCGACGCTGCGTCCGGTCAAAGTTTGGCTGTTGAAGGTATAAGGTACGGTACCCAAAGTTTTGCTTGGGTCTGTACTTGCGATACAGCACTTGGTACCTTATGAGTCAATGAGGATAGAAGTATATAACTAATTACTTTAAAAAAAAAAGTATACAGATACATTTACATCATAGAACTGAAAACCCACCAATGGTCAATGCATAATGTGTTTCTGTGTATAAATAGGGTTGCAGTCAGTCAAATAGCTTGTTTCAATAAAGTCAAAGTTTATATAAGTAGACTGTGATCACTATTCAGTCCTGATTTGACTACTGTCCTGTTTCTGATTTAAAGGAACTCCAATGGCCTTGAAAGTGATGCCTAAATCCTCAACTAAGCTGCAGGGATTTCTGCGAGAGTACTGCATTTCTCTACACCTGTCCTGCCACCCCTGCATTGTGGGCCTCTTTGGCATTGCCTTCCAGTCTAAAGAGCACTACTGCTTTGCCCAGGAGCTTGTGATTGGGAAGGATCTTTTTGCAGTCATCAAGCCAAAAGTGAGTCTTTTCAGACGGATCATCAAACTCTAACACTCTATTTAGATACAGTGAATCCTGTTCATATAGCTCCTGTGCCTTAAGCTTTTAGATTACTTATGCTCTTCGGTTTTGGCTTAAGTATCCTAACTGATTTGCCCTATTCGGACAAACCAACAAAACAATATTTGATTATGTCTAGGGATGTATTACATTTATACCAATAATAACAAAGAGATTTAAAAACAGATAAAGAATTAAACAAGTGGTCATTGGGTGACCCTGCCTTTGAATGGGTAGCATGCTCACAATAGAGACAATTAATCTTATAAAGTTGTTCTTCGTTGTTTGTGTTGTGCTCTGAATTTACTGTAGGATGTTTCATTCATGATAGAAAGGCAATGAAGGACAAAAACCAGCAAAAGCCAAATCATCAGGACTGTGGGTCCTTTAACTGTTTAGCCAAATACTAAGTGGAGATTAAAAATGTATGTCAGATGTGTGTGTGGGTGTGTTTTTCGACAATGTTTTTCCTTCATCATGGAGAACAACCATCCTCATGGGGACCTATTCCAGGTCCCATAGGGGGAGATTACTGTTTTACATTTACATCTAAGGTTTATGACTAGGGAGAAAATATAGTTGCATAACAATCAATGGAAACGTCTACCCGGCAGGAGTGTGTTTATTGTTGTGTTGGCCTTCTGACCTGTCCAGGGTGTACTCCACCTTCTGCCAATAGAATTATGTAGAAAGGCATCAGTCCTCCTGCGTTTCCAATAGACAAGTAGTAGAGGATGGATCGATATCAGAAGTTTAATAATAGCGTGGTTTGAAAGCCAGTGGGACCCTTTTACTTTTATGCAATATGACACTATATCTCTGAATTAAGTTTGTGCAAAGCTCAGCCAGCTGTTTCAGGTTAGGGTTAAGGTCTCACTTCAAGAACTGATGTGGCACCATCATGTACTCTATGTTCTTTAACATCACCAATATGAACCCTTTCTAAAGACACAAGTGAAATAGTAAAATAAATAGAAACATTTTCTTTCTATAAATATTTAGTCTTTCCAATAGGTGGAACTAGCTCTCTGATTTTAACACCCTGATGATCTAGTGACAGTGACACAAGTACACTCCTGATCAAAATCTTAAGACCAGTCAAAAAATTGCTAAAATTTGCATTTTGCACTATTGGATCTAAAGAAGGTTCTAATTAGAGCTTCACAGTGTTAAAAGAAGAAATCAGCGTAAGAGACAAAAACTTTTGAGCAGGGAATTAATTGAAAACTGCATTGGTCTTAAGATTTTGATCAGGAGTGTATGAACAAATACAACAAAAAGGGGAAAAAAATGCCTTTTCTTGTTATTGCCTTTTCTTGGACTGGAGCATTAAAGAAATGTAATTCTCCTGTACATAATTCAATAAAAATTACATTCAATACATATAGAAATTACAGAATTACAAATAAATAGAGATTTTAGTTTTGTGTCTTTACAACCATTTTTTAAACAAAACTGCTACAAAGAAATTGTATCCTGTTTCTTGACACAGGTTGGTATCCCAGAGTCATCTGTCAAACGCTGCGTTCTCCAGATCGCCAGTGCTTTGGAGTTCATTCACAGCCATGGTCTGGTCCACCGGGATGTGAAGCCTGAAAACATCCTCCTGCTGGACACCAACTGTTGTCAGGTCAAACTGGCCGATTTTGGCCTGGCCCAGAAGAGAGGAACACTTATACGCTTCATCAGAGGAACCTTGCCATACATGGCCCCAGAACTTTGCAGCGTGGCTCTGCTGGACAACCAGAAAGAAGTGACAGTGCCTCCTCTGAGTGTAGAGCCAAGCCTGGACACCTGGGCCTTTGCAGTGGTTATCTTTTGCATCCTCACTGGTTACTTCCCATGGGAGCACTGCATGGATTCAGACAGCTTCTACCTAGAGTTTGCAGACTGGTGCAGGATGAAGAAACACTCTTATATTGAAGAGGATATTCCTCCTTTGTGGAGGAGGTTCACTCCAGAAGCTATGGAGATGTTTGGTAAGCTTTTGGCCCCAGATGCCTCATTGAGGAGTGCAGTAGGAGAAGTGAGAGCCTATGTGGAAAAGGACTGGCTGAAAAAAGACTATGGAAACCAGCTGTTTTAGATGAATTAACAGTGTGTGTCTCATGGAAGCATGTTCTGAGAAAAAGAGTGTAGTTTTTAATAATTTCCACAGACTTTTTAAGACATTTCGAATCTTAGAATCTTAAGGAATCTTTTCACAGATGGCCTGAATTTTATAATCGAAAGCAAAGAAATCATAACTCCATATATAATCTTTATAACTCAAATAAACTGCAGTTGAAGAAGTCAATTCAGAGAGGTAAGACAATTTACCAACATTTCTACTGTGAAAAAAGAAGCGAACATTGTTATAGCTGAAAAAAGTTCCCCATCAGTAGCTTATAATGTGGATTTTACATAACTAAAAGGTCGTCTGAGGAAAGACATTACTTTCTGAGATAGACGCTTAAACATAAAAAGGTTTAAGCCAACTGAAGGGATCAGCTAATAACTGTAAGCTACTTTAAAGTTAGCAGATGTAGATAGCTTTTTGACTTTTTGTTTTTTTCCATGAAAACGTCTGTATTCTTTGCTTGACACAAATAAAACAATTTAAACAATATTGTCTTCTGTAGAGGCAAAGTGGAAAAAATAACAATTTCCTTCTCAATTATCTGACCGTTAGTGACCACTGATTACATCCCTGACTATGCATTATATCAGGAGAGCCAGATATTCATATTATTGTTTTACATTTTAGAGGTTAACCAGATTGCAAACAGGTCTTAGAATACATTTAGGCCAATTGAACTAAATGGCATGTTCAGAACACTTTCACTGATTGATATAATGAGCATTGCCTGCAGGGCTTTATAATGATAGAATGCATGTGGAGAAAGCCAACAGGAGTAATATAGAAAACAGCAGAGCTTAGCTATATTGTTTAAAAAAAGAGGTGTTAAATAATTTGGAGGAAAATATTGAACTGACCTAGTATAAACCTTTCTTTTGAATAAAAAGTTATTATATTTTATTTTTTGCTTTTTATGTGAACCCCATTGATTATGCATCCTGTCTTAAAACTATTGAAAAATAGAAATTGATAGACCCATCACTCCATCCAGACAGCGTCTTGCCCACTCAAATCAAATGAATTAAGAAAAAGTCCTAAAGGTGCTGCTTGATGGTGCAATTTATAGCACTGTTGCCTTGGTGGTCCTGGGTGCGACTGCTGTCTTTCTGCATGGAGGTTGTATGTTCTTCATGTGCATTCCTGGGTTCTCTCCTGGTTCTCCGGCTCCCTCCCACAGTCCAAAAACAATTATGTTAATAGACATCTTTAAATTGTCCTTACAATTTACAGATGCCAACCTGTGAGTGTGTGTGTGGTTGTATGTGTTGCCCTCCGATGGGCTGGCAACCTTTTCAGGGTGGACCCCTCTCTCTGTTGGAGATAGGCACCATCCTCATCTTGACCTGATATATAAGTGGAAGAGAGTGGGTTGATGGAAAATGGTAAAGATAATGATATGACGTTAAAAATATCACTCCAATTGATAAAAAATGTAAAGCAATGAAATGTGGTTTATTTGCAAACATGTCAGGTGTTAATAACTCTGTAAAGGATTACTGTAGTGGATATGGATGGACCCAGAGACAACCCGCAAACAGGTCAGTGAAGCTTTTACAGTCTTTATTTAAGTGAGAGGGCGGCACGGACTCCCGGGAAGAGCGGTCAGGTTCAGCGACAGGCAGTTCCTGGCCACAGGAAGACTTTGTTGGTTTCAGTCTGGTTACAGGAGAGGAGGGAGTCCGTGCTGGGTTAATGGCCGCGTCTATCTGACAGAGGATGATTATGAACATTTGTGTCTTAAAGTTCACTCCGTGCCCAGATGCCGAGGTTGGTTACAGCCTGTCAGCTGCCAACAAGATGGCGGGCGCTGGCCAGAGAGTCCCAGACGTTCCCAGAGAACGGGCTCAGAGCCAGCAGATCAGAATTCCGAAGAGGTACGGTACACAGGCAGAAATCCAGCAGGAATCCCAGGAGAGGTCAGGCAAACAGATCAGAACGAGGACTGGAAGGCTCATGGGTCCAGAGGCAGAATGGGTCAGGATCAGGCAATCAGAAACAATTAGGTACCCTTGAGAACTCTCACTAAAGGCTTGAATAATCAGGCACTGATGACTAGTTGAAAGCTGGTTAAATAGAGGCTGAATCAGGTGGATCAGATGAACAGTAATGAGAACTGGGAACTAGGCAGGTGAATTAAATTAGTTGTCAGGCTCAATACTCAACAAAGGTTGATTCATGACATCTTTTGAGGAGACTGGATGGACCTCTACAGGTAGGTGCAGGTAGGTCCTGGAGAAAAGCAGGACTTAGTCCGACAGTTCATCCAAGGACAGACTAAACTGGAGTAGCTGACAGCACCAGGCCAGAATTCAGTGGGGAGAGAGGATAAGTCGTGGGTAGAAAAAACAGCCCTGAAAGTCAGATGCAGCCTGTGGCAGCCCTAATGGACAGGTGTGGCCTGCCGACTGCCAGCCTACCGACTGAACCGCTCCACTGAGGATGCCATCTCCTCTGCTCTTCACCTGAGCCTAGCACACCTGGAGGAGAAAAACGACCATGTGTGGATGCTGTTCCTGGTCTTCAATTCAGCTTTCAACATCATCCTCCCACAGCATCTGACAGGAAGACTTGAACATCTTGGCTACAACACTCCCCTTTGAAACTGGCTGCTTGACTTCCTCACCAACAGACCTCAGTAGTCCGGGTCAGACAGAACACCTCTGATGTCATCACCGTAAGGCTCCCCTCAAGGCTATGTCCTGAGCTCCCTGCTGTTCACTCTGATGACACATGACTACGTCCCCAGGTTCAACAACTTCACATTATGAAGTTGGCAGATGATAATGCAGTGGTGGGCCTCATTGGAGATAACGCCCATCCTCACAACCTTCTACAGAAGGTAGAAGGTTGTTTTTTTGAGAAAAAACAGCAAATAACAGAAGTAGAACTAGGAGGCCGGCTTGTTTTGTTTTCATGACTGAAATTGTGGAAAACAACTCGTGAAGTTTGACCCGCTAGAAGAGCGAGGTGCGCGAGAACGCTGGGACCCTTTTTCCACCTGGATCTCCGCTCTTTTTGGCCCTCATGTCCCTCCGTCGTCTGACTAAACTCGCCCCCACTTCCTCACCGCCTCGGCCGTATCTAGACCCACAGCGTGTAGCACAGACCACGCTTCAATACTGAGCATAAATTAAAAATGTCTGTGTCAAGCTCACTGCAACACACTGCTGTAAGAGTATAACCAGGAAGCGAGGTAGGAGGGCAAAATAGGTTTAGCGCCACCGCAGCACAGGAGGAGAATTACGCCCAGGAGCAAATGGATAAAAATAGACCGGAGGAAAAAAAAAAACATGAAATAATACTCTTGCGGACGTATCGATGCATCAGATCGTCGGCTGTTTAATCGATGCATCGATACAAAACGATTATTATTTTAGTTGGGTGTGGAGGCTGCAGCGCCTCAGACTGTAAGAACATGAGCAGAGTGGTAAGAAAACAGCAGATAGGATCATGGGGGCTCCTCTTCCCTCTATTAAAGACATTTCATCCCAGCTCTGAATGTCCCGAGTCTGTGACATCATCAATGACCCCCCACACCCCCCACCATTGACTGTTCTCCCTGCTGCCCTCTGGGAAGAGGCTTTGCAGCATCCATGCAGGTCAAGCAGGGTCTTCAACAGCTTTTTCCCCGCTGCCATCAGACCGCTGAACTGCTGAAACTCTAATCTAAACTCTGCATAAGATTTGCAACACATTGTTGCCAGTGCACCTACCTTTTATTAGAACATAATTCAATTTTCTACTGCATTTTGCACCATATTTATTTATTTTCCATTGTACTGAACCTTTCTATATCAATGCCTTTTGTACCATGACTAAATTTGTCTGAGTCTAAGGCCTACAGCAGCCCTGGAGGTTAGACATGGCTGGCAGTTGCCCAGGTGGTTTTAGTCAGAAGCTGCTGAGTTCTCAACAGGGTTGAATGGTAGGAACAGGAAGAGTAACAAACATCTGGGAACACACGCAGAGTGATTAGTTCAACATTCTGATGTTCTTCCTTGTTCTTCTTTTCTGTTATGGTAGGTCGCAAGCAACTTTAAGATTCATACCACCAGTGACTGTACATGAATGTGTGTAACATGGACTAACATCACCTAAATTCAATGTTTTAATTTAGTATTATGAAGATAAATAAATGTTTTCCTTAGAGAATAAAGGTCCTTCATGTTTCCTTTCGTTCTCAACAATACTTTAAGACTCCATTCCTATATTATTATGGTCATTATTATTTCTTATCTTCTATTTTTCTCATTAATATTTTTAACAAATAGAGATTTTTGTATGTTACACAAACAGCTTCCTTTCTGATCACCATCCCACCAATCTTTCCTTATTGCCGTTTCTTTACTCTTTACTGCTGATTTTCTTCCCCTTTTCCAAACGGAATAGTTACTGTAATTACCCCATTTTAGCTAATTTGTCTTTAGTTTTATTGCCTTTAACTCCTGCATAATCTAAAAGTACTGTAATGCAGCTTTAGAATCGGTTCTCAAAGTGTATATTTTGAATTCTGGTATTTAAACAGTATATTCCTATTCCCACATATCCTTTGATATTCTTAGAAATATATGAATAATTTTGAAAGTAATTAAAATATGAGTTTCTTTGGTGTACATCTGCTTGTCCCACTACTTCTTTTAGATTACAAGTATTTTCCATTTTAATAAGTCTCATGTCTACATGTATTTCAGGCTATAACCATGGAATTACATGACATAGTTTTATGAGCACGCCTTCCCTCTATAATAAATCATTTGCTTTATAAATTTGAAAGAATACTATAATCATTACTTCCTTCATTTTTAAAGTTTTTTTTTCTATATCATCACTTACTCTTAAGATTGTGTCCTTTTTTTTTTTTTATTACTTTTTTTTTATTGAATTTTATTGATTTCACATTAGATACATTTACCTCAGCATTTAACCCATCCCCTTGGGTAGCAGTGGGCTGCCATTGTTCGGCGCCCAGGGAGCAATCGGGGATTAAGGGTCTTGCTCAGGAACCCAGAGTGGCAGTCTGTGGGATTCAAACTGGGTACTTGCAACCTTCTCAGAGCCCAAGTGCACTGCTCTAACCGACAGGCCAACATTCCCCCTCTAAAAGCAAATTCCCTGTTTGAGGGGCATTGTTGATTGACCTGTTCTAAAGCAACTTTGATAGACATTAATTTAACTTTTATATTCATGAATATCCCCTAATCTGTCATTATTTCCCCATATATTTGCTTAAATGCGATTTTAAGGCTATAGGCCTCTAATTTTTTGGGCTAGTAGGATCTTTTCAGGGCTTCTTACATGGTTATATTATTGCCGTCTTCCAGCTACTTGGAATTATACCTTCGTCCCATATTTTATTAAATAACTTTAATATTAATTTTAACGTTACTTCAAGTAGCTGTCAAAACATAGCATAACATGACTGATCCTTAGTAAACTGTGCCTTTCAGTGCCGTTTTAACTTCTTTCATAGTAATATTCATATCTACTGTTGATCTGTGACGTTATTTTCCATATTTGTATATTTTTTGAGTGTATGAAACTTCTTTAAGGCGCTCCCCACTGCTGCCAATGTTTCTCCCATCACGTCTGCCGTATCTTTATTTTTTACTATTATCTCCTGACGTCTAATCAAAGCTGGAATAAACACATTTCTTTTTGCATCAATTTTCTTGAGCATTGAGCAGACATTTTGAAGTTTTATTTCTGAACCTGTGGAGTAACAATTTGCTCTCCATGTTTTCTTTTTTGTATCCTTAAGAATGGTGTGTCAGGATATACAGTCATCCTGTTCATTACTGTATGTACATAACAGAGATTTGGGAATGAAACGAGATTATACATCATTTTACATGGATTACAATAATTTTTCATCTTGATAATTCTATATTTCCTCAAATTAAATGGGTCCTAGAATGCAAAACCAAATGTACATTGTCATAGATGAATAACGATAGTTCAGTGGGTGAAATGAAAAGCAGGACATGTCATGACATGGAAAAAGAGGACGTCTGGTCAGCCTAC